TCTGGACTAATAAGTCCCATTTCAATGTTAATGACACACATGTACAAGTTTGCAACGTGTGTTTCCGTATATGTGAAGGGTAAAAAAAGGGTTTCGGAGATGATGGAATTACTAATTTGTCCAAAAGCATAATGTAGAGCTTTTTGGTTTTCCTCCTATCGAGAAAAACGGCAATGATGAAGATGGAATTTTCTTGGTTGGCAATGTTGATGCGATGAAGAATCATTGGTTTGTGTAAATTTCATTTTTTGGCAATGTTAAATCATCATTTTTCCTTGCCCCAATTAACATCTTGTTCTTCCCTCCCCAAAACCTAGAAATTCAACCCTCTTCTGGAAGGTAACTTACATCGCCAATTAACGTCGGAACTAAAGCATTTTGTGAATGTGGTTGGCGAGTTGGCATCCTCCCTTTGTTAGCGCCAGTGATTGTGTTGGTTAACTATGGAATTAGGTATGTGGTTTGCTTTGCTTATGTTTATGGTTGAACCCATTTGTGTATCTAATGTTAGATTATGTATTTGTCTTTGATGATAGTTTAGTAATACTAGGCACTTGTCTGTGATGTTGTCAAGCGTTAATGATTGGGCAGGTTTAGAATTCCATTAGGGGTATGGTTGTGTAATGGTTTTTTTGTGTTGTTTTAGTTCTTCAACTATAACTTTATGTGTTGTGGAGGTGTATTTGGGCTCAATTTAATGGTAGCGGTATTTGTTATGTTTGTTGTGTTGTTAAGTTGTAATGTAGCAATGACTTCATGTTTTTCAAGTTTATATATGTTGCAATGTCTCATTGATTCCCTATTTTGCATGTGTTTATATGTTGGTGCTGTCTATGGATGTTAATGACATCCATGGTAAGTTAAGTGAAATGTTGATGATGTACATGTTAATGGTGTACGATGATTCTGATTTGTGTTGAGTTTGTTTAGGTTTGTGTTAGTTTATAACGGGACTACAACAATGTTGGGTTATGTGTCATGGTGTCAGTTTCCATGTTTGTAAAATATTCCATGTAATGATACGTCAAGTGTTGGAATGACATTGAGAAACATGATGAAATTGATGTTTCCATTATGTCATGGTGTGCATTTGGGTGGAAGGGTGGAACAAGAAATACAGCAATCCCGGCATCAAGCTATCAAACTTTCGACATACACTATCAGCCAATTGTGCAAATGTGAAGGCTTGATGAAGACGAACAACCACATTGGTCTGTCCATAAGTACACAAAACAACACTATAAACTCCATACTTACAACAGAGGGGAACAAAAAAAAAAAAACCCGTAACATGACACTACCGTTATTAACCCCACACCATGCGAACAATGAAACAATGCATTCTTGCACAACAACAATCAAATAACATCATATCAACCAACTGTGCAAATGTGAATGCTTGATGAAGACGAACAACCACATTGGTCAGTCCATAAGTACACAAAACAACACTACAAACTCCATACTTACAACAGAGGGAAAAAAAAAAAAATCGTAACATGACACTACCATTATTAACCCCACACTATGCGAACAATGAAACAACGCATCCTTGCACAATGACAATCAAATAACATCATAAAATGACATCGTAACATTAGCACCTTAAACATTAGACTCCCTCGACGCACACACCAAAACGAAATCACAACCAAAACACAATGAATCAACACCAGAAAACATAAAAACTGACCTGTAAATTACTGTACAACACGTCAACAACATAGCCTCAAAAAACATCAACGGAACAAATCAACCACCTAACACTCCTTCGGACAACATCAATACACCAACATTAATTGGGTAACATCATCACCCCTACAAAATCACTCCACACAATCCCCCAAAAAATAGAAACACAATAACATACTTAAACAAACCCCTTTAACACCAGGAAAAAAAATTAAAAGAAAATCATATACAAGGGCAAGCATGTAAACTCCACAACCAATAAATATGAGTGGTGCTATTGGCATCCCATGAATTATTTTGGAACTTCCATTTCTTTGGGCCTCCACTTATAAATTTTGAAACCCTCCAACTTTCTTTCTCCCTAAATAATACCAAAATTATCCTTGTGAAAACATTCCACCCATTGAATGCACACCCCATCTCCCACACCCCTACAGCTCAAAAAAACCCCTATTCCAAAAAAATCCTAACAAAACCCACCAAGAGGAAGAAGAGCCAATGTGATTACTGTCTCTGCTGCCGCATCCATCATTGTCATAGTTGGTATACACACACACACACACACTCTCTCTCTCTCTCTATATATATATATATATATGCATAATTTCTTAGTTTTCTTGTAATAATTTCTTCTCTTGTAGGAAAAAAAATTATAATAATTGGTTTGGTTGGTAGATATTATAAAATTGTGAGTTTAGTAGAGAACTACCCAATAATATTATCAAAGCTACGCGATGAAGAAATAACTTTTGAACCTGATAATGGATTTGAGTTACTTTTGATAACTTCTACAAGTGTTAAAAATTTTGACCATTTAATGTGTTAAGAAATTTCCATGTTTGGGCCTGTATTCTCGAACTTGAAAAAATGAAAACTTTTGCAAGCGTTAACAATTTTGACTGTTCAATGTGTTAAGAAATTTTCATATTTGGACTTGCATTTCCGAACATTACTTATTTGTTCGGAAATGCCTTCCCGAACAAATAAGTAATGTTCAAGCCTGTATTCCCGAACTTAAAAAAATGAAAACTTCTGCAAGCGTTAACAATTTTAACCGTTTAATATGTTAAGAAATTTCCATGTTCGGACCTGCATTCTTGAACATTATTTATTTGTTCGGGAATTCCCGAACAAATAAATAATGTTCGGGCCTGTATTCCCGAATTTCGATCATATGTTCGGGAGTTTAGTTTCGAAAAAATAACGAATATATTTTACTATTTTTCCTATTTTTTTTCAAGAAATTTACCCTTACAAGGCCAATCTCCTATGAGCTAAGAACAACCTCAAAGTTATGAACCTCCGTTAAACTCTTTATTGTTGTACTCCTCTCATCTTATGGAATAAGAAAAACTTTTACTCATTGTTATTGCCGGAGAAGTGTAGACAATCAAATGATTGCTACTGTTACTGCCGGAATATTGCCACCAAAGGATTTTCAAGATTTTGAGGGTGGGTAGGTTTTGAAGGTGAGATTTAGGGAAGATGGATGGATGGTGATGAAGGTGAGTGCTCTCATAAACCTTAATTTATGATATAGTGAGTGTGTAGATTTAATTGTGAGATGGGGTGTCTCAAAATTAATGATGTCATTTTTAGTAATTTTATTTGAGGTTATTATTGTAATAAAAAAAGTTAATAATTTGAGGGTTCAAAATAATTCATGAGGTCCTAATAGCAGCACTCATAAGACCATCTCCAACGGTGCATCAAACCATGCATCAGATTTGAAATTTGATGAAAAAGTGACTTTTTCCAGCTCAAATGGTTTCACAAATTTGATATCAAAATGAGAATGGAACAAACATTTCATCAAACTAAGGACAAGCTCTGTATGTCAGTATTTCACTGTGTTTGACCGTTGGGGTGGGCCAATCGGTCAACCAACCGGATATCCGGCCGGTTGATCCACCGGTCGACCGGTTTCCTTTCAAATAGGTAGGTTCAAACTGGTCAAAAAAGGTCAAACAGGTTAAAAAAAAAATTAGGCTTACTAGTTGACTGGCCGGTCAAGTCGCCGGTCGACCCTTCCCTTTTGATGCATAGTTGGAGCAAGCCATATCAGATTGAGAAAATTGACTTTTTTTTACTCAAATTTGGTTTACCGTTGGAGATGCTCTAAATATAACATATCATAAATAAAAAAGACTAATTGATTTGAAAAAAAACTTTTAAGAAACTTTGGCTTGTTTTGTGAAGTTGGCTTTTAGCCACTTTTTTTTGGTTTGTAGCAAAAGTCAAAAGTTGGCTTTTTTAAATTTTTTTTCATTTGGGAAGTTGATTTTTAGCCAATGGTGAAATTACAATTCTACCCCTTATAGGTCAAAATGTGTTACATGGGTGAAGTTGTAAATATTTTAAACTAAATGGGGATAGTTTGGTCATTTTATTATGATTTGACATCTTAAACAAATATTAATAAAAAAAGTCAAAAGTAACTTTTTACCAACTTCCCAAATCATTTGTCTAAAAAGTCAAAAACTTGATTAAAAATCAAAAAATCACTTTTTACCATCTTCCCAAAATAGGCCTTTAATGACATTTTTTAGAGAATTTTTGAGTAATTTTTCCATCAAAACTATTAAAAAATATAATTTACAAAAATGAAAAGGCAAAAAAAGAAAAAAAAATATCACTCTTCCGCTTTCGAAGAAGCAAAGAAGATAAACATTCAAAAGTTGACTTTTTTGAATTTTTTTTTGTTTGAGCAGTTATTTTTTAACCAATGGTGAAATTACAATTCTGTCCATTATGGGTCAAAATGTGTTACATAAGTGAAGTTGTAAATATTTTAAATTAAATGGGGATAGTTTGGTCATTTTATTATGATTTGACATCATAAACAAATATTAATCAAAAAAGCCAAAAAGGCTTTTTACCAACTTCTCAAATCATTTGTCTAAAAAAAATCAAAAACTTAGTTAAAAATTAAAAAAATCACTTTTTACCATCTTCTCAAAATAGGCCTTTAATGACATTTCTTAGGATTTTTGAGTAATTTTTCCATCAAAACTATTAAAATATATAATTTACAAAAATGAAAAGGCCAAAAAAGAAAAAAGATATCGAAAGAGAAAATATATCACTCTTCCGCTTTAGAAGAAGCAAAGAAGATAAACATTTGTGTCGTGTACTCTTTTCAGTCGATCAAAACAAAACGGTATGGCGTTGCTCTCCTCAACGTTTCTGGTGGACCCAATCAACTGTTTTCCAAACCCTAAACATAGTTTTGGAAGCCATTGCCCAGAGGAGCTGTTTGTTCGACATCGGAATCGGAATCGGAATCGGAATCGTAATCGGAATCGCAGGTTGTCAGTGACAGTTTCCGGAAAATATGAGGACCAGAATCTGAATGAGTCGCAGCCGGCGGAGTCGCTCCGGCAGTTCACCGCCTCTGCCATTCTCCTTCTCGGTCTTGGCATACGTGTCTGCGCTGCTGCTGCCTCTACCCAGACTCCGGCCATCGCTGTTGCAGATCGTCCAACAGTCATTGAAGACCACATAATTCAAGGTTATATATTATCATCACAAAATACTTATTTATGAGTTAATTTTATTATTTTACTCTACTCTCATTCTAAAATATATGAATATCTAGTGGTTCTCTTCCTGTTGGTAAATTTTTCTATAATAAAATAAAAAAAATATTATTTAGAGGCGTGAGCAAAATTTGAACAAAGGGCTTAGTTTCATACCCTTACCATTTAAACAACATACCTATTATAATATTAATTTTTTTATTATTCGTTTTTAATTTGTTTTTATTATTTATTTTCATATTTACTCATTTGAATTGCATACGCATTCCGTGTTACTAAGTATATATATACATGTATTTTTTTATTTTTTATTTTTGTTGTCAAAAGATAGAATGTTAGTGTGTAAAGTTAGGAATTTTTTTGGTTAAGTAGTAAACTCCCAAATCTGTCCTCCGCCAACATACCACCCAGACCTTCCACTCACCGCGACAACATACCACTCGGCAACAAGGTCCTTGGCTTCTACAGTATATGGATCAAAGGCCTTTTTGAATTAGTAACTGCTAGCCTATCAGCCGTGCTATGCACGGGATAATTATAGATATTTATATTTGTGTAAGATTTTTTTTAATATATAAATTATGTTTTTTTAAGATTTTTTATAAGAATTAAATGTTTTAGGGATTTAATAGATTCACTTTATGGATTAAGGATTAAATAGATTTTGATTTGTATACTCTGGGGACTTAATGGATTCAATAAGAAATTAAATAGTCTTTGATTTTTTTTATATATTTTCCGGACTTGATAGAGTCAATCCATAGTTCAAGGACTAAGTAGATAATTTAACAATAGTTCAGGAGTAAAAAGTGAAATAAACCCTTTCTTTATCAACTTGTAGTGTATTAACTAATTCTGAGTTGATGACAGTGGGCTTGAAAATGTGAGTACTATACTATTTAAAATGGGTTTCACTTAGTTTGGAAAAAGTTTAGAATGTAGACTATTTTGAACAGTTTGAAATTGTTTAACAGATTTGAGATATTACCTTTTAATCGGTTTCGTTTCAAATCATGTTTGGAACAAATACTATTTTAAGGAGCTTAACTTATTCAACAGAGTCGGGATATTAATTTGTAAACAAGATAATTTGAAGTTCAAGTGTGAGTTTGAGATGAAGTTCATTATGATTTGACTTTACTGGAGGGACATAAATCTCATATTACTTGTCTATTGATATTGTGATGTTAGATGATTCTGTGATTTCAGAGGTTAGTGACTAAATTATTTGAAGTTCAAGTGTGAGTTTGAGATTAAGTTCATTAAAAGATTTGACTTTACTGGAGAGACATAAATCTCATATAACTTGTCTATTGATATTGTGATGTTAGATGATTCTGTGATTTCAGAGGTTAGTGACTAAATTATTTGAAGTTCAAGTGTGAGTTTGAGATTAAGTTCATTAAAAGATTTGACTTTACTGGAGAGACATAAATCTCATATAACTTGTCTATTGATATTGTGATGTTAGATGATTCTGTGATTTCAGAGGTTAGTGACTAAATTATTTGAAGTTCAAGTGTGAGTTTGAGATTAAGTTCATTAAAAGATTTGACTTTACTGGAGAGACATAAATCTCATATAACTTGTCTATTGATATTGTGATGTTAGATGATTCTGTGATTTCAGAGGTTAGTGACTAAATTATTTGAAGTTCAAGTGTGAGTTTGAGATTAAGTTCATTAAAAGATTTGACTTTACTGGAGAGACATAAATCTCATATAACTTGTCTATTGATATTGTGATGTTAGATGATTCTGTGATTTCAGAGGTTAGTGACTAAATTATTTGAAGTTCAAGTGTGAGTTTGAGATTAAGTTCATTAAAAGATTTGACTTTACTGGAGAGACATAAATCTCATATAACTTGTCTATTGATATTGTGATGTTAGATGATTCTGTGATTTCAGAGGTTAGTGACTAAATTATTTGAAGTTCAAGTGTGAGTTTGAGATTAAGTTCATTAAAAGATTTGACTTTACTGGAGAGACATAAATCTCATATAACTTGTCTATTGATATTGTGATGTTAGATGATTCTGTGATTTCAGAGGTTAGTGACTAAATTATTTGAAGTTCAAGTGTGAGTTTGAGATTAAGTTCATTAAAAGATTTGACTTTACTGGAGAGACATAAATCTCATATAACTTGTCTATTGATATTGTGATGTTAGATGATTCTGTGATTTCAGAGGTTAGTGACTAAATTATTTGAAGTTCAAGTGTGAGTTTGAGATTAAGTTCATTAAAAGATTTGACTTTACTGGAGAGACATAAATCTCATATAACTTGTCTATTGATATTGTGATGTTAGATGATTCTGTGATTTCAGAGGTTAGTGACTAAATTATTTGAAGTTCAAGTGTGAGTTTGAGATTAAGTTCATTAAAAGATTTGACTTTACTGGAGAGACATAAATCTCATATAACTTGTCTATTGATATTGTGATGTTAGATGATTCTGTGATTTCAGAGGTTAGTGACTAAATTATTTGAAGTTCAAGTGTGAGTTTGAGATTAAGTTCATTAAAAGATTTGACTTTACTGGAGAGACATAAATCTCATATAACTTGTCTATTGATATTGTGATGTTAGATGATTCTGTGATTTCAGAGGTTAGTGACTAAATTATTTGAAGTTCAAGTGTGAGTTTGAGATTAAGTTCATTAAAAGATTTGACTTTACTGGAGAGACATAAATCTCATATAACTTGTCTATTGATATTGTGATGTTAGATGATTCTGTGATTTCAGAGGTTAGTGACTAAATTATTTGAAGTTCAAGTGTGAGTTTGAGATTAAGTTCATTAAAAGATTTGACTTTACTGGAGAGACATAAATCTCATATAACTTGTCTATTGATATTGTGATGTTAGATGATTCTGTGATTTCAGAGGTTAGTGACTAAATTATTTGAAGTTCAAGTGTGAGTTTGAGATTAAGTTCATTAAAAGATTTGACTTTACTGGAGAGACATAAATCTCATATAACTTGTCTATTGATATTGTGATGTTAGATGATTCTGTGATTTCAGAGGTTAGTGACTAAATTATTTGAAGTTCAAGTGTGAGTTTGAGATTAAGTTCATTAAAAGATTTGACTTTACTGGAGAGACATAAATCTCATATAACTTGTCTATTGATATTGTGATGTTAGATGATTCTGTGATTTCAGAGGTTAGTGACTAAATTATTTGAAGTTCAAGTGTGAGTTTGAGATTAAGTTCATTAAAAGATTTGACTTTACTGGAGAGACATAAATCTCATATAACTTGTCTATTGATATTGTGATGTTAGATGATTCTGTGATTTCAGAGGTTAGTGACTAAATTATTTGAAGTTCAAGTGTGAGTTTGAGATTAAGTTCATTAAAAGATTTGACTTTACTGGAGAGACATAAATCTCATATAACTTGTCTATTGATATTGTGATGTTAGATGATTCTGTGATTTCAGAGGTTAGTGACTAAATTATTTGAAGTTCAAGTGTGAGTTTGAGATTAAGTTCATTAAAAGATTTGACTTTACTGGAGAGACATAAATCTCATATAACTTGTCTATTGATATTGTGATGTTAGATGATTCTGTGATTTCAGAGGTTAGTGACTAAATTATTTGAAGTTCAAGTGTGAGTTTGAGATTAAGTTCATTAAAAGATTTGACTTTACTGGAGAGACATAAATCTCATATAACTTGTCTATTGATATTGTGATGTTAGATGATTCTGTGATTTCAGAGGTTAGTGACTAAATTATTTGAAGTTCAAGTGTGAGTTTGAGATTAAGTTCATTAAAAGATTTGACTTTACTGGAGAGACATAAATCTCATATAACTTGTCTATTGATATTGTGATGTTAGATGATTCTGTGATTTCAGAGGTTAGTGACTAAATTATTTGAAGTTCAAGTGTGAGTTTGAGATTAAGTTCATTAAAAGATTTGACTTTACTGGAGAGACATAAATCTCATATAACTTGTCTATTGATATTGTGATGTTAGATGATTCTGTGATTTCAGAGGTTAGTGACTAAATTATTTGAAGTTCAAGTGTGAGTTTGAGATTAAGTTCATTAAAAGATTTGACTTTACTGGAGAGACATAAATCTCATATAACTTGTCTATTGATATTGTGATGTTAGATGATTCTGTGATTTCAGAGGTTAGTGACTAAATTATTTGAAGTTCAAGTGTGAGTTTGAGATTAAGTTCATTAAAAGATTTGACTTTACTGGAGAGACATAAATCTCATATAACTTGTCTATTGATATTGTGATGTTAGATGATTCTGTGATTTCAGAGGTTAGTGACTAAATTATTTGAAGTTCAAGTGTGAGTTTGAGATTAAGTTCATTAAAAGATTTGACTTTACTGGAGAGACATAAATCTCATATAACTTGTCTATTGATATTGTGATGTTAGATGATTCTGTGATTTCAGAGGTTAGTGACTAAATTATTTGAAGTTCAAGTGTGAGTTTGAGATTAAGTTCATTAAAAGATTTGACTTTACTGGAGAGACATAAATCTCATATAACTTGTCTATTGATATTGTGATGTTAGATGATTCTGTGATTTCAGAGGTTAGTGACTAAATTATTTGAAGTTCAAGTGTGAGTTTGAGATTAAGTTCATTAAAAGATTTGACTTTACTGGAGAGACATAAATCTCATATAACTTGTCTATTGATATTGTGATGTTAGATGATTCTGTGATTTCAGAGGTTAGTGACTAAATTATTTGAAGTTCAAGTGTGAGTTTGAGATTAAGTTCATTAAAAGATTTGACTTTACTGGAGAGACATAAATCTCATATAACTTGTCTATTGATATTGTGATGTTAGATGATTCTGTGATTTCAGAGGTTAGTGACTAAATTATTTGAAGTTCAAGTGTGAGTTTGAGATTAAGTTCATTAAAAGATTTGACTTTACTGGAGAGACATAAATCTCATATAACTTGTCTATTGATATTGTGATGTTAGA